TTGGTCACAGAGGAATGCTTCTTTGCCAGCTCAAGTGACACTGTTATGCTAAAATTCTGAAACCAAACTTGATGTGTACGTGAGCTTTAAATTGTCTATTGATTGTGCCTTTGCCTACTGCTTTTGCTTTCATTCTTCATGATATGGCAATTTATTTGTTCATTGTTTGTTTATCTGACTAATTTTTCACACAATGGGATGGACGTGGATCTTTGCCAAAAAGGGACAGCTGCATTCATGAATTGGTTCAGGATCTGCATTAATAGGTAAAGATTTGGCCATAAAATTGTTTTCCTATAGATAACATTCTGCTTTGACTCTGCTCTCAAATTGGCATACCTCAGATCAGGCGTTCAAAAAGACATTAAGGTGCCAAAACGGCTTCCAAAGGACTGCAAGTTTTTTTTTTTTGGTAAATGCTATGATTTCATTTAACCAAAGAAAGCAGCCAACCTGCTACAGACATGAAAACTTCAAGGATGTTCATGTTTTGAGTTGCCTGCGAAATTAAACTAATTATATAGATCAATATCATAAACATACAAAACAATAAAGGCCTAGTCAGAAACATAGCATACCACTGATAACATACATATCATGAACATACAAAACTAGAGGCCTAGTCAGAAACATAGCATATCCACTGATAACATCTTTATAAGTAATACTTGAATCATAATAGCACAACTATTGATGCTATTGAGGCTAGTAAGAATTGAATATACGTATGTAGCGATGAGCTCTATTAATCAAATATCTCCTGGCTTTTTTGTCCTCACATTCCAATTGAATAGACCATACAGGCAAGAAATTGGGACATGAACGGACATGATTTAAGTGCAAAGAAGACCCAACCCAAACTAAGTTCAGATCAAAGAATCTTTAATGGAAGATCAGCAAACCCAACATGAGCTTTGTGTCTGTCAAAGAGATGTTGAAGTGCTTCGACAAATTGACTATGTACTTCAATGACCTGTGAAACAGAGGTGTTAATGCATGTGTGGTTATAAACAACTAATACAAAGTCATAGTTTCACAAGAACAAACTCGTAGGGTTTTAAGCTTCTAAATATAGATCTGTCAATGAGCGTTTCAGGTTTTAAGCTATGAAAGTAGTTTTGTTCACTGTATCTGAGTATTATATTGTAAGAAGCAAGTCCACGACCATGGAGCGTTTTGTAGCTTGAGACCATAAATTTGTTTCAGTGATTAATATAGAAAGTAGCCATCAAAATTTTCATTGGCGAGTTTTCTTTTCTCCTTTTACATGCTGAATCCTTATTCTTTAACATCATTACTAAGTAAAGGCAACAGGCATTTGCAACAGTAATAGAAATTTCTACCTAGGGGAGATTATAACACAAAGCCACTATGAAAACCATACAGGAGTATCAATACCTCTTCGACAGTGGGTTGTGGATTTTTCTTCACGTCAATAGGTTTACCCACCACCACATGCATTGGATGTTGATAGGGTAAAGGAGATCTGCAAAAGAGATTTACAGTTACATATTTCAAACAGCACCAGATAAATACATAGCACTTTTTCCAAGATTTATAATTGTAAACACAGAATTGTTATGTAAATAATGCAAACATAGAACATTTATTAGTAGTTTTCTTTTCTTTTCCTCCTCTTTTCCAGCTTTTGTATTGTCCTGAGACTAATCAAGAAGACGCCATCAATTTCCCTCAAGCTTCACAACCACTTACATACAAACCACAGAAACTCATTTTCGTTTAATTAATTTCTTATCAAAATACATTGCCAAGGTCATACAACAGAAGGGAACCGTCTCTCATTCTTTTACCTTCTCCCACTTGCCTGACTTGAATTGAAGATACTCTATCTTCCTTAAAAAGGGATGATTTTCTAGGAAGCTTACCCTCAAAAATAATCCACTTAAATCATAACAAAGACTCGTCACTTACTATTTCTTCCATTTTCTATTTACATACTGCAAAGGTTTCAATATATTAAACACAGTGGTAAATGAAATTTTGCCAGCAAAACATTGCATTTTCTCAAGAAATATTATAATTT